GTTATTAGATTTTTTAATTTGTTTAATTTCTTTTTCCAATTGAATATTTCTTTGCTTCAAGTATTCATTTCTTGCCTAAATATTAATTGAAATTTTCATAAAATTTTTTATTTCAAAACCCACATCAGCCTCATTTTTCGCTGTCAACAATTCCAAACATTTTTTAATCCAAAAATCCTTAGTTTCAGGATTCTCCAAATTTTCTCTAATTAAAAATGCAGAAGATCTAGCCAATTCTGCAACCATTGAAAAATTGTTTTGACAAAAATTTAGAGGAGAAATTTGTTGTTGTGGTAAATTTAAATCTAAATTTTGAGGTAATATTGGAGGTGTTGATGATGAGGAGGCTTTTGATTGGGAATTCATTTGTGTTGTTGTTTGGTCAAAAAGTCTGAAAAATAAAAGGTTAAGAGTGATTATAAGACCAATTTCTTTTTAATTGCCAAATTCTTTTTAATTAGGGTTGTCCGAACCGAACAGGAAAAACGCGAAAATTTTTTCGGTTCGGTTTCGTTTAACCGAAGAATTTTTTAAGGCCACGAAACCCTGTTTTTAAGGCTACAAAAATTGGCTTGAATTGACATACATCAAATTTTAAATCATTTTGTGGATAATTACTAGCTTAAAATTTATAAAATTAACGTATTAATTTTATTACAACGTATCAATTTTAATAGAAAAAATAGAAAAAAAAATTAAATTTTACACAAAAGAAAATAATAATAATAACCCATAAAATGAAACAAATGATCTTAATGAATTGATAAGAAACAAGACACAAATATAAATAAATATATCGGTAATGGCTTGGGAAAGGGAGATGTTGTTAATTGTTTTATGGAAAAATAAAGGGGGGGGGGGAAGTAAGCTTAGACAGTTAAAAATAATTTTTTTAGTTTAAAGTAGTTAAAAAGTAAAAATAAAAATTGAATAGGCTAAAAGGTAATTTTTGTAAAAAAAGGAGGAAATTTTATTATTGTTAAAAATGAATTGAAAAATAGATGGAAATGATTGGGAAAACAATGAATTAGAAAAATATTTAGAATTCTTAAGCAATAATTCTCTTTGTGGATCCAGGGATGGACACGTCCGGGTTTTAAAAGAGGAGGCTGGAAGTGATCTCATGACCGGTCCATCAGGGATCCTGTCGAGACAAATATATGATTTTTCGCTTTATCGTGAATTTATTTTTTTAGTCGGCAATGTTCCTAATATGGGCATGTCTTTTAATTTTAGGGAAATAACAAAGATTTTGGTATCTCATAGGTAATCTACTATTTGTATTTTTTTTTCAAACACAGTAAAAAGAAGGGTAGAACCCAAAAATAATGGGTAAAGTAATAATGGATAGAAGTAATTGACCATGCGTAAATTTGGGAAATTAATATTATAAATATACTAACAATTGGAAGAAGGGTCACATAATAATTTTGGGGGAAACGATAGGAGAGGGGAGGGGGGAGGGGGTGCTAAAGGTGTATTTATTTGTATGTGCGGGCAAAAATTTTTTGGGGAAGAATCTCTCAAGGCAATAGACAAAGGTAAACGATAATGAATGAGAGAAAAGAATGAGTGACCATAAAATGACCCATGAAAACCCCCAAATATTGAGACATCACGCAAACAAAAATTAAATAATATTTTTTTTATTGCTCGGCCAATTAATCAAGAAAGGAGAGATTGTTATTTCAAGCATAAAATATTATTATTCAGCAAAATATTTAGTAGTGAATTAATTAATAATTAATTTTGAAGAAATTACCTAAATTTTGAGGTAGATTTCTATTAGGAGTTTTTCGCAATTTTTTAGCAGTTTAAAATAATTTTTGGCGTTCTGTTTTTTAAATGAAATTTTTGGAGCAGTACTAATGGATGGATATAGAAAATTAGGGGAAGTAAAAACGGATTTCTGAAGATTAACAAGTATATAGAAGGGATATCGAAGGATTTGGGAGGATTACTTTATCCAGTTACTCTCGTGCCCGCACAAAATACCGAATTCTCAAAATCGCGAATCGGCTAAAAAAGCTCAAAATACCGAATCGGGAAAAATATCTCAAAATATGGAATCGGCCAAAAAAGCTCAAAATATGGAATCTTAAAATATCGAATCTCAAAATCTCGAATAGGCTAAAATGCTCAAAATACCGAATCGGCTAAAAAGTAGTTAAAAATGTCGAATTTTTTAAAAACGAAAAGGGCCGTTTGAGTGCCGCCAATTGAGTGCAGGTCTTTTTCAGTTTATTCAGGGGTCTGTATCTCAGTCCAATAAAGTCGGATTTCATTGATTTTGGTGTCAGTCGATGCAGCTCGACGTGCTCTTTCAAATGAGCTATCATTCGGAAAATCGAAATTCGGTTCGGGATTCGAAGCTCGGTTCGGGTCTGGGATTCGACTTTTTCAAAATCCGAGCTCAGATTCGTAATCAGCATATTTTTTTTACCCTAGAAAAACCCTTTTGCATATTTTTAAATTTTTTTCGAAGTTGTTGATAAAATTGTTCAGACTCAACTGGCTTTTGCCGCATTGTCGATATTTTGAGCTTTTTTGGCCGATTCGATATTTTGGGATTCCATATTTTGAGATTCGATATTTTGAGATTCCATATTTTGAGCTTTTTTAGCCGATTCGCGATTTTGAGATTCCATATTTTAAGAATTCGGTATTTTGTATGGGAGCCGTTACTCTTCTTCCCTCCCCTCTCTACCTTCTCTCCTCTCTAAACTTTCTTTAAACTATTTTCATTACAAAAAAATAACAGAATGCCAAACAAAAGGAAAAATTAATCGTTTAAAAAGTGTTAACTGATCATTCCAAAAATGGAAGTATGGAAGTATACTGATCTCATCTACTAAATTATTTAAATAAAATAAAAAATAAATTTGCTTAAATGCAAATAAACGGAAAAACTGATAGAAAATCATCAAAAAAAAACAAAATGTTTTTGAAAAAAATCGGTGAGTGGGCGATTGTCGGTTTTAATAAAAATGAATTTAAAAAAGGATGAAATAAAAAAGGAAAAGCATTGGACAGAATAAATAGAAAATTATTCAAAACTTCCCATTTTTGATCAGTTTATTATTTTTAGGTAGGTGGAATAATAAAAAGAGAGGAAATGAGATAAAAATAAATTAACAATAAAGGTTTTGGGTTATTTTAATCAAAAAACAATGGAGTGGGATAAGGGGAAATTTATTTTAGGAATTAAAAGATATCGACTTCGAAGTTCGATCGAGATTTAAGTTCGATATTTAATCAAAATTAATAATTAATTTAATATACCTAATCTATATTACCTAATAACAACCCCTTTTTACGTATACTTTCTTGATTTGGACATAGACATAGATACGGATATGGATACGGATATTATAAAAATGCCCGCGGATATCTGTCTGTATCCGCCGTGAGTATCCGGATACGGATACCAAAATCAGTATCCATGTCCTAGTCTGATAAGAAACCCATAGCGAGAGAAATATGAAAATATACAGCCCAAGTTTTGATTGTAAAAATTAAAATCCTATGAAACAAAATAGAATTTCGAAATTTTGTTAATTGTTATAAAATTTAATTTATAAATTTAAAAAACAAATTAACAAATCAATTTTTTAACAAAACAAATTTTAACTTTATTCCCTTATTTATTTAAATAAAAAAAGTGATTCAAAAAATGTTTACTACTATTTTATTATTTAAATACTACACATTGTTTAAAAAACCTTTAAAGTTTTTTTCCCTAAATTTGTCGCGAAGCGACTAAGGATGAGGAAAATAAAATAAATATATTTTTATAATTTTAATTTATTTCGAAATTAATCATCATTTATTGCAAATTCCTTTTTCGGACTTTTACCTTCTAAAAAACCATTTTTTATGTAAACATCTATTCAAACTCTGTTTACATTTTTAGCTCCTTTTGTTCTAAAACTTAACTTAATTTTCCACTCTTTTGTATTATTCAAAATATGTGCATTTTATCTAATCGTTCCTATTATGCCTTTAATGATCGAAATATTTTTCTGTCTACCCGCCTATTTTTCTGGCCTATATAATCTCCCACCCCAAACCCCTATTAGCTTCTTTCTGTTTGAGCTTCTTTGGTACTTAGCTTGCTTCCTCTGTTAGCTTTACTCTGTTTGGCCTTTATCTTTGGTTGAACTGTTCTTTGCTGTATTAACGCTGTTTTTTAAATTGAAAATAAACTTTATAAATTTGATTGGATTTTATTTGGTTGGAAAAACTAGTCTAAGATTTGCTTGGTAGAAAACCTAGACTTTGATTTGAGCTCTCTCTCTCCACATATTTTTTTGGTGCAACGGCCGGGAACCAGGCCGCCTTCAATTTGCTACTTGGATTCTAATTTTGGTTTGGAAGTGCTGTTCAAATGTCCGGAAGAATTAGACGAAACCTGAACGCTGCCTTGAAAACCATTCAAGAGCATACTGCCGAGGCCAATCGAATTATTGCTGAGGAAAACGATGATGATACTCGCAGAAAGTTGAAGCTGGAAAAAGCCCATATCGAGACCACTATCGTAAGAATTGAGGAATTGGATGCTCAATGGAGTGATTATGTGGCAAGCTTAGAAGGGCCGCAGAAAATGGCTGAGGAATCGCTATACCTCGATTTTCCGCCCCGAGGTGCTGGTATGGAAAGAGAGGAAGGCCAGGAAGTACCGTTAGCTCAACGTCATTTTGTGGATCAGTGCGAATTTGCCCGACAAGTGGTTGTGCTAATTGAGCAAACCATGGAGGATCTTGGCCAATCTAGAACCAGTTCTCGCCAATCTGCAATGAGCGAAGTGTCAGATAACCGAACCAATGACCTTGGAAACCAAAATCGGAGGGCACAAGGAAATCAAAGGCCGCAGCCGCCTACAGTACAGTTGCAACAGCCTTTTATGGCGCAACCACGTGCCAAGCTCCCTCCCTTGCATTTACCTCATTTTTCGGGAGAAACCAGAGACTGGCCTACCTTTTGGCAACTTTTCGAGTCAACTGTGGATAATGAGCCCAGCTATGACAATGTTGTAAAAATGAGTTATTTGCTCTCTCTGTTGGACAGGCCCGTACAGAATGTGGTGGCTGGATACTTACCTACGAATGAAAACTATCCACGCGTGGTAAAGCTGCTGAAGTCTCGATATGGTGACAAACGAGCACTCAAGGAGTCGTTACAGTCAGAGCTGTACCATCTACCCCATGCTAATGATTCAGTTATGGGATTGCGAAAATTTTTGGACATAATTGAAAGAGTATGCCGACAATTGACTGATTACGGAATTAGCGATGACTCTTGGATAGTTTTCACTATAAAAGAAAAATTGCCCAGAGGAATACTTGCCAAACTGATCGAAAAGGAACGAGTAGCCGAGCAAACTTGGAATGTCGAAAAGTGGAGGAAAGAGCTTGACCTACTTATTTCAGTCAAAGAAGAGGTCCAGAAATGTAGCGTTAATAAGGAACCTGATTGGCACCCACAAAGGGACAGACGCCCACTGCCAAACCCTGAGCAAACCAGTTCATTTCCGGTTACAAGTCAACCGAGGAAACCCTTTTGTTCATTGTGCGAAGGAACCCATCTACCAAGCAAATGCCCGAAACATAACAACCTTCAGGCCAAGAAGGATCGTTTGCTGGAACAAAACCGTTGCCTAAAGTGCATATTATGTAGAGGGAACCACCCTCCAAGCCATTGTTCTAAGTATAGCAGCCCAAAGGCGAGGAAATACAAGTTATTAGAGCAGAACCGTTGCCTAAACTGCCTGAGTGATGGCCATCGAACCTTTGATTGCAGGAAGAATCGACGATGTATTAAATGTCGAGGAAAGCACCACCTTATGGTTTGCTATTCACGTGTGTCAAAAATCCAAATGTTGGAACCTATGCGGAAGAGCAATGATTATTGTTCAAAGCAGGCTGGAATGTTTGAAACTAAAAAATTGTTAGATGAAAAAACAAAGGCTCTCCAAGAGAAAGATAGAACGATAGTGAAATTGATGTCCGAGCTGATGTTGGCACGCAGAAAATCCGAGGAGGAATCCAAAAAAGCTAAGCGATTGAAAGTTCTCTTAGATGAAGCTAATTCGAGGAAGATTGGTGATTTTAATCCGAAAAAGATCGATAAGAGAAAAGGAATTCTGAAAGAGACTCAAGTGCGAATCAATTCCCTTCAGAAGACTAATCGAGAATTGCTGGTCAAAAATGATAAGCTCAAGCGTGAAATGCACGTCTACCGTAACAAATGCTTACAACTAGAAAGACTGGAACCACCAGATTTCTATGCCTGTTGCTGCCCCTGGATGGGTATAAAAATGTTCATGATTGTCCTTGTCGCTTTTGCTATGATCTTGGATGGCGCTAAAGCTGCTTTGAGGATGTTTATTAACGCAACCAATAAACTTTGGAAATGTAAAACGAATGGAAGGATGGAAAATGAATTGACTCTTGAAACCCGCTCTTGGCTTTCTTTAACGATTTTTGCCACCGTTGTTGCGATCAACCCCAGTTGGACCTTTCTCGCCATCTTTGTTAATGTTATGGATGGCTGGACACATGCACGGAAAGAGAGCAGAAAATGTGCAATGGATGATGTGCCGAAGATCAAGAAAAGAAAGAAAATACTTGAAAGATGGAAAAAGGAAATTGAGGATGAAACTTTCAGACGCGGGCGGGAATGTCGCGAAGCGACTAAGGATGAGGAAAATAAAATAAATATATTTTTATAATTTTAATTTATTTCGAAATTAATCATCATTTATTGCAAATTCCTTTTTCGGACTTTTACCTTCTAAAAAACCATTTTTTATGTAAACATCTATTCAAACTCTGTTTACATTTTTAGCTCCTTTTGTTCTAAAACTTAACTTAATTTTCCACTCTTTTGTATTATTCAAAATATGTGCATTTTATCTAATCGTTCCTATTATGCCTTTAATGATCGAAATATTTTTCTGTCTACCCGCCTATTTTTCTGGCCTATATAATCTCCCACCCCAAACCCCTATTAGCTTCTTTCTGTTTGAGCTTCTTTGGTACTTAGCTTGCTTCCTCTGTTAGCTTTACTCTGTTTGGCCTTTATCTTTGGTTGAACTGTTCTTTGCTGTATTAACGCTGTTTTTTAAATTGAAAATAAACTTTATAAATTTGATTGGATTTTATTTGGTTGGAAAAACTAGTCTAAGATTTGCTTGGTAGAAAACCTAGACTTTGATTTGAGCTCTCTCTCTCCACAAAATTTGTGTCACATGTATTGTTAAAAAATTAAATAATAAAGAATTGTTTTTCTTAAAAAAGACTTGAATTTATTTAAAAAATTTTTTTTTGCTGAAAATTTCAAATTATTTTTTGTTATTTTTGGGTTCTTTTAATGATAAAAAATATTCTCTATTTTTAGTTTTATTATCTTCTATTTTTAGTGATCAAAAAAATAAATAAAAAAATAATTTTTTGGAGGAATACTAAGGTCTGATATGGGTCCTAAAAATAATTGGAAAGAATCAAGGCATTAAAAGACTCTGATATGGACCTCAAAAATACATGATCATATGCAATTATTAAAAAAAATATTTTTTTTTAATTCAAGCCAAGTCTAATTTAAAAAATAAATAGAAGCAAACAACAAAAAATTAAAAGAAAAATATTTTTTAGAGAGAATGATTTTTAAATTTGGGAAGCTGTTTATTATTTAACTGATAAGTAAAGAATCAAGGAACGGCGCCATTTTGGTAGAAAAAAGGGAGGAGAATTAGAAATTAATATTCTAAAAAAGGGAAAATAAAACAAAGGCGGGCAGATGACCAAGGCAAAACAAAAAAAACATCAAAAAAAAAAATAATTTTAGAATGACTGCCAAAATAAGGAAGGGGATCATGAGTTTAAATAAATTAATAAAAAAATAAATTTAAAAATTTTCTGTAGGCATAATTGAGCGGCATTTTTGTCTTTTTATCTAAAAAGGCTTAAATAAAGGTGTAATATACTCGTAAAAAGTTGAATGGTAAAAGAGGTTTTTGATTTTTAAAAATTCAAAAGAATTATAATTTTTCTTTTGAGAAATGCCGGCTTGCCTAGTTAATTTTTAAATTATTTTTTAGGGGCAATAAACAAATAAATAAATATTAATTTAAAAAATAATTATTGTGGGAAAATAAATAAAAAATATTTTTTTAAAAATTAATTCTAGCTACCTAAAATACCTCTAATTTTAAATAAATAAAATTTTTGTTTATTATTTACCTAAAAAATATTTTAATAAACAAAACTTGACGTAAAAGTCTATAAAAGTAAAAAATCGGTTTTATTTGAACAATTGTATAAACAAATATATAATTAACTAGATAAGTTCAAACTTAAAACACCTACGCTAAGTTTGTTTAAAATACATAAAAGGACTTAAAGTTTTGTATTTTATAAACTTGAAATATTAAAATAAATATTCCGGAAAACACATTCTGAAAACAGAAAAATACAATGAAAAACACAATCCGGAAAAAGCAGAAAAAGCAAAAACACATTCCGGAAAGGATAGAAAATACAAAGAAAACACATTCCGGAAAACAAAAAATACAATTAAAAATGCATTTCGGAAAAAGCAAAAACACATTCCGGAAAAGACAGAAAATACAAAGGAAACACATTCCGGAAAAAATACAATGAAAAATACAATCCGGAAAATTCCGGAAAAATCAGAATAATTAAATATGTTTTTGAAGCATGAATCTCAATTTTATGGGTGTTAAGAATAATGTGTTTTTATGTTTAGAAACCTAAGTTCTCAAGGTTTTTAAGTTTTTCCCAATTATCAGAAACACAAAAATAAATGTTCTCTCAACATCAACACATTTTTGCCCATCTCAATCATTTCAAAAAAAAAGGTGTAATATAAACCTCTCAAACAAAACAAATAATTTGGGCAATGGCTTGAGGGGAGAGGAGAAATAGAGAAAGGTGATTTGTTTAGATAAAAGCGCGGCAATTTATTTTATTGCATTTTGGGGTTATTTTTTGAGTGTTTTTGTATGTATATTTTAGACGTTGTCCATACTTTGTCCAGACAATAATAAAAAAAATAAAGAAAAAAATAATTATGTTTTTTTAAATAATTAATAAAAAGGTTGGGAAGTACTGTAGAATGAGCTCTATAAAAGATATAAAAATTAGTTTATAAGCTTATAGGTTTATTGAAAATTAGCCCAATGAAATAGAGAACATTCGGTTTTATGTCAGTCAGTCGAGTAGATTTGAAAGTTGTGGATGGCCCCTACACCTTATTGAGACACATTCAGGAAAATTATAAACTTGGCACTATTTTTTAAAAAGCATCCGAATCTAAGAGTTATAAAAATAAACACTAATTGATGCTATTAGTCTCGATAAACTAGAGCCAAACATAAACAACAAAAGAAAAATGTAGCATAATGAGAGGGATAAAAAGAGGCGGGGTTTGAGAGAAAAGAATGGGCGGGATATTACTGTAGTAAGTGCGCGACTATAAAAAATGTTTTAAATGCAAAATTTTTGTAAATGTTAAGTTGAAAATTTCAAAAAAATTTTTTTTCTAAACCCCCCACCTTTCATTTTCATGTTTCAAGTTTTTTCCATTAACAACAACATTGTTTGTCCCATTCAAAACAAGTTTATTATTATTTTCAAGTTTGTTTTCGTCAAATGTTGATTCCAAAACATTTTGTTGTTGTTCATTTAAATAAACTTTGTTGTTGTTTTGTTTGAAATTTAAAGTTTGTTTTTGGGGTGTTTGGATGCTGGGATCGGTAAATGTTTGGTGTTTTGCGATACAATTATTATGGGGTAATGTTGAGGGAGAAAATGTTGTTGTTGATAATTGTTGGTGTTGAAACTGTAAAAATTAAAGGGAAATTAGTTTAAAAAATTTTTTTAGAAAATTTTTTGTAATTTTTTAAATTTTAAAAATTTTAGAAAATTTCTAAAGATTTTTTATTTAAACAAAAGCCTACGGGCTTATTTAATAATTGTTGATCCCCTGGTGTTGTATTCATGAGATCTTCTTCCTTTTCCTCTTTTCCTTCATCCTTAACAAAATTTCCTTTAATATCATGACAGTAACTAGTCGAAGCTATCTGGGGATCGACAGCCAAATTTTTATTTATTTTCTTTCGTTTTATTGTCAAAATTTCTTCTTCCTCTTCCTTGTATTCATCCCTTTCTTTTTCCTCTTTCTTGTCATCCTCCTCACTTTTATTTTCTTCAATTTCTTCATCAGTCTCTTCTTCCCCCTCTTCCATTTGTTCCTCATTTCCTTCCATATCTTCCTCTTCTTTCACAATAGAGCCAGTTTCTTCCCCTTCCCTTCCTTCATTTAAAGCATTCTCTTCCATTTCTTCCTTCAATCTCGACGATGAAGGATTATTTGGAGAAACAGAACAAGTCAAATTCATAATATTATAATTATTTTTATTGCTTTTAATTAATAAATTATTTGATTGCTCTTTTTGGTCAATACTTTGACTAATATTGCTAATTTTTTCGTTAAAACGAGGATCAGTAATTTTGGAATTATTAATTAATTTTGAAGAAGAAATTTGTTGTTGTTGTTGAAGAAGAGCGTTTTGACTAGGTAATCGACGTATTGGAGCAGCCTTTCGGCGACTTGACATTCTACAAAAATATTTCTAGAAATAAAAAATTTTTTTGACGTACGGAGCGACAGAACTAGCCGACGCGATTCTCGAAAGTCGGAAATTGAAAAAAAATTCGGGAATTCCAACTTCCAGCAGTGTGAATTTAATTTTTTAAGTCAGCTAGATTTCTCTGGCATGGAGCGAAAAAATACGAAAAAAAAATTTGGAAAATACGAGAGTCGAGGAACAAAATGCTATAAGAAATAGGTGATCAATGGGGGGTAAATCATCAATGGGGGGTAAATCATACAAAATTATTTAAATATTTTATTAAAAATAAATAATTAAAAAAAGGTATAAAACAAAACAAAAGTAGCAATCTGAAGAATGGATGGGGATTAGTATATTAAAAAAATTTTAAATTTCGTATTAAATATAATAATTATTATAAGACAAAAACAAGGTATACTACTAACAGAGAAAAAGCACTCTATTAAATTAAAAAAATAAATAAAACAAAAAAGAATTTAAAAATGAGAAGATGTTTTTTATTATTATTTATTTTAAAGATTTACTACTTTTTTGAAAAAATATTTCTAAAATTTGGAAGGGTTAATTAGGCAAAAATAAGGTTGTAAGACTTAATAATGGTCAAAAATATTCAGGCGAATTTAAATTAAAAAAATCCTTGGAAATTGATTTAATTTCCAATCATCTGGCTACAGTTAAAAACACCTAGTCGGAGTCCATCCCATCCTATTATTTCATTATATCATGGTTATGGCTCCGGTATTGCTTACATGAACATGGAGATCTATGAGAGAGAACAATTTTGGCTCAATTAAAAATTTTTTTGAAAATACGGGTAAGCCTCGATACAAAAAATTAAAATAAGCTTTCAAGTTGATATTGAAATTAACAAGCAAATGAATTTAAAAATTAAATCCTTCCTTAAAGCTTAATGTATTTCCTCTTTTAAAATTATAAATAATTGTTTCTTGTGCGCAATAAAAATAAAATTTTTATTTTAAAAACAAAAAAAAGAGTTTTTAGGAAAGATGTAAAAATTATTAAAAAGGTGTTATTGTGAAAGAGGCACTTAAAAGATTAAAATAAAAAAATTTTTGTAGTTAAAGAAGTATTGTAAATATTAAAAGGATTTAATGAAAGGGGAGGGGAGAGATTTGCCAATTTAGCCGGTGAATGAGGATATGCCCGGTAATAATTATTTAAGTCATTAAAAAATAAAAGGAAGGTTGGATAATAAAATAATTTTGTTTATTTTTAATTTTTAAAGTGCCGGAAATGTAAGAAGAACAAAAAGAATTGCGCAAATTAAAGGGACATGAGTGAGGTAAAGCCCATTAATTCTTATGACCTTATAATTAATTTTGTGAAATTTTTTTTAATATTTTTAAATACAGAATTAAATTTGCTATAAAATAGAAAACAGCAAAAATTATAGAAAAATGGGAAAAAATAAAATTTAAAGGAAGAGAACAAGCAAACTTTAATTTTCTCGATTTTTCCCCTGTTTTAAGGTCAATCTTAAAATATTCGTTTTTTTTAAATTTCTCGATCGAAAATAGAATTATAATTGAGTCTAAATAAAGTTTTAGCTAGCCATTATCCCCCAATTTCTCAAAAAAATATTTTTTAAAAAGCCTCATTAATCTAACGGCACAAAGGTGTAACCAAGGTATACGATAAATTGTTGAAAATAAAATAAAATGAAGGAATGAAAATAATGGATGGAGATTTAATGGAAAAAGGGAGAATATAAACCAATTCTTAGTTTTAAAGATAATGCCAAACTCACTCCTCTTCTTGGCAAAATTATTATTATAAAGCTTTTTTAATGTCCATTATCTCCCCCCCCCTCTCCCTTCCATTATCCCCTCTATTAAAAAGCCAAGGGCAGAGAGACGCTCTAATGATTTTTGTCAACAAATGATCCCCCTTTACATATTCACGCGCTTTAAAATCCTTGTAAAAATGTGTAAAAGAAAGGTAGAAAAATAATATTTAAAAAAAGATGGCACGCAATCCTTTCTCTATTGGATGGATAAATTGAGGAAGATTGCGCGAATAGGGAGTTAATTGCGCGAAAAAGATAAATGTTGAAAAATAGGAAAATTTATAGAAATTAAAAATAATTTTTGGAAGCTAATAAATTATTAAAATTGGGATCCTTCCTAGAAAAATAAAAAAAAATATAAAACAGGGATGGGACGGGTTGAGGAAAAATTCGTGTCTGGTTTCGTATCAGGTTTTCAAAAAAATTTTCGTATAAGGTTTCGGATTTAGAATCAAAAAAACAGGGTTCGGGTTTCGGGTAACCTGTCCTATCCCTGTTACAGCTAGAGGAATAGTTGAGAACGAGAAAAGTTAATTGAATAACAGACATTGCCTTAGTTAAAGCCTTATAACTAAATAAGCTTTCAATAATTTTTAATAAAATTAAATATCGTTAAATAGAGAATTGAATTCTCTATTTAAAAAAATTAAAATTTTTGATTTTCAATTTAAAAAAACTGTCGACAAGGAAGCAAACATTTTCAACCAATTAAAATGCCTAAAAAATCTCGTTTTTCTCATTCATCTGTTTTAGTTTGGAATAAAAAAATTTCAATTTTTCTATATTTTATAGAGAATTTAATCCTCTATCGAATGATACCAAAAGCTTCTTAAAAGGTACATTTATTCGAGAGATATTAAGGAAAAAGTGAGGTGCACTCACTATATATTAAATATTAAATAAAGCAAAAATTCTTTTTAAAAATTAATTTGACATTAAATTTATTAAAAGATAAGAGATTAATTTTGCAGCATTTTTTAACCTTTCTAATAAATAAAAAAAATTTTTTTTTGTAATAAACTTGGGCAAAAAGTAAATATAAAATAAAAAACAATTAATTAATAGCCCACCAAACTTTCTTTTGAAAATAAACCTTTTCACCTTTATTTTAAAAATAAATAAACCTTTTCTCTACAATAATCTCTTAAAATAAAATACAAATTCCGGAAAAGACTTTTTTGATATTTTCATTTTTTAATTGTCTTTTGACTTTTTTTAGTCTTTAACTGCGCGACATTAAAAAAATAAATTTTCTTTTGTTTGTAAAATTAGCGTAAAAAGAGAATAAATACAAGACACAATTCTTGAGTATTTTTTGGCATTTTATTTTGAATAATTACAAGAAATCCCAAATATAGAAGTAATGTACTTATTGCTAGTTAAATAGGTTATAAACAATAAAACTTGAAGCAAGATTAAATAATAAAACATGAAACGTAATAAAATATTAGAACTTGAAATTAAAACTTGAAACATTAAAAATAAATAAAATAAGAAGCTTGAACTTGAATATTGAAACTTGAAGTCAAAACTTGGATTAAATAAAATACAAGTTTACAATTTAAATAAACTTGAAGCATTAAAAATAAAACTTTAAAAAAAATTTTTGAGCTTGAACTTGAATAAATAAACTTGAAAACTTAAAAAACTTGGATTTAAAACTTGAATTAATTAAAACTTGGAATATTTTTTAATAAACTTGAAGCATTTTTAAAAAAAATATTTTAAGGTAAAATTAAAAGGCTACATAATTTAAAGGGTTAAAAAATTAAAAATTAAATTAAAAAAAATAATTTGAATAATTCATTAATTTACTTAATTAAATAATTCAATTTTGCATTAAAAATATTTTTTAAAAATTAAAAAAAATATTTATTAGTCAATAAAGAGATAAAAAGGTTAGCGCTCAATAAGCATTTTTACAAGAAAATGGAGGGGAAAACAAAGCTTGTTATATATTTTTTCTCTTCAATTTTTTCTAAATTGGCATAGAAAACAAAAAAAAATAATTTTTGAGTAAAAAAATAAAAACAATAGGAATAACTAGAAAAGACACAATTTTGTAAATAACAATAACTCCAAAAAAGAGTAAAAGCAGCTGGTCGCTGCGCTCATTAAATTTACTTTGAGGGGGAAAAAGCGTGGTTAGTTATTTGCAGATTGGACATAAAAAAGGAAAAAAATAGAGGATGGCATATATATTTCATAATCTGTTTGAAATTTAATTTTAAAAATAAAAATTTTTATCAAGAAGATTTTTAGAATTAAATGAAACTTCGAGGTTTGGAAAATTTATCTAAAAATAATTCCGAGAAATAAAATCTCTGACTAACACACAACAATGGCCAGTACAGATACATATTTTTTAATTATTTTCTTGTGCCCCAAGGGGTTGCAAAAAATTTAAAAAATTTTTAAATAAGTTTTAAGGCCAAAAATTAAAAATAATAACAAATCCATATCTCCTCATTGTTTTAAAAAATTCTTTGATCTTTTTTCTCTCATCCAGAAAAAAATAATGGGGTAGAAGGGAATTGGCCAAATTTGGGAAGCTATTTTATGATATACAACTCTTTCACTACCCCTAAAAACAAAATTTTTTTATTGCTCTTTGAACAATAAAAAAATAAAAATGAGAGGATAACAATAAATTATAAAATATATTAATGAAAATTAAAAGGTTGAAAAATTAGGAAAATTCCGGATAGAAGTTTAATACCCTTACTTTAAATTTTTAAAAATTATTCGGCTAAAAAAGGGAACTAATTAAACGATTTTGGATACTTCTCATTTTAAAATAAAATTTCCAAAGCACCGAAGGGTGTTTTAAGACGGAGGTTCGACTGCTTAATTAAATTTTGATTAATTTTTTAATTATATGTCTGAACGGAAATTGTGTCTGATCGAAATAAAGACTAGATCCTGAATTTAAAAAAAAAATAATAAAATTGTTTAATAATAAATAAAATAAAAACAAAAATGTTGCTAATAAAAACAATAATAAAATCTTTAAAAAAGCGCTAATTTATTTAAAGCTAACGTTGAAAATGCTCAAAAACTTTAAAAATAAAAAAAGAAAACTTTTGAAGAGCCGCGCGGGTAAAAATAAAGAGGAGGAAAATTTATTTTAGACGGAAAAAGAGGATCAGTTAGTTAGTTGTTTGTTAGTTAGTTTTAACCCCCAAAAAAATTTTTAGGACAAAATTGAGGGAAGAACAAATAAAAAAATTTACAAAATAAACAAAAGCACTCGGGAACAAAGCAAGAAAAAAAGAAAATAAAAAAATTTAAGAGTTGAAAGGTAAAGATAAAATAAAAAAATTAGACGAGAAAGAGAAAACTTTGTCTGGAAAAATAAATAATTTACTTAATTATTTAATTAATTAAAATGCTTCGAGTTTTATTAAAATTCTGTTTCAAGTTTGTAAAAATTATTTTAAAGTACATGCATATTAA